TTTTTTTCTGTAAAGACAATGGAATAAGAACATTGATGTAGAAAGAAGATAAAACACTCTCATAGAAGACATATCATCAAAGGCACAATGTATTTTTATATCAAAAATCTTATTAGCAAAAACTAATGTAGAGTTAACTGATTAATTCTTAGGAAGTTTCAACCGTTTCATTCAATCAAATTGTCATTATTTCTTTATCATCGTTGTTCAAAGTAAAAAATTTTACATGATGCTATACATAGTTTTTTTACACATCTTTAGATTTACATTGGTCTAAAACTGTGTGTTTGTAAAAACAATGGCACCTATGATACTGAAGAAATATAGTTATCATAATATTTTATACGGATTTTAGACAATTATTTTCTTGACTACTTGATTTTTTTGTGTACTACTTATTCAATTGAAATCTACATAACCTTCTCTTCTATCTTGAGGATGTGGGTGTGCGTGTGCGTTTAGGTATGGCTGTGCTTGATGTGACTGAAGCCCTTCTCTTCGTCATTACACACATTCTACACCCACATCCACATCCATAATGAGAAAAAAATAGATCTATAAAATAGAAATTCTGTGCCCTTAGTATGATCATATTATAGTTTAAAAAAATAATCTTCTTTCTTATAAAGATATAGTTTGTCACTTGCCTATGTGTTTGATGACGATTGAACACCGATCATACTGTGACCTGTCATTGCGAAAACCTGAGTGTAAGTGTACTCGAAAAAGATGCTAATATCCATATTCACACTCGTCTCTTCTTCGATGACGATAAAGAGAAAAGAAATTGAAATGTGATTTGACGAAAACATGTAGGCGATAGCACTCGTGCTGCGCTTTTTCAAATCCATATTCAAATCTTGTGTAAGAAAACATATTGTTCACTAAGTTCTCCCAACATCTGTCATGCGGATTAACTTTTAGACTTTGAAATATGAAAGGATTTGTTTTGTGCTCTGTTTACAGATGAAAATGTTCGATTCAGACTAAATATGCCACTTTATCTTCAGCGTTAAAGATGAAGTGAGTCAATTTTCCTATTTTTTCATACTTAATGAGGTATAGTTTTTTTAAGCTGAGAAAGTTGCAGAATAGTCAAGCAAAGTTTATCAAAAAAAAGCTTAATCCGTAAAAATCCCCATGTTTCAGATCTATTCACTTCAGGTTTTATTCTTTTCTTGAGTAGATGACCTTTATACACTCACTCTGGATGCAACTGCAAACGATCAAAAATTATTGTCAAAGAGAAAAATATAAAAAATAAAACCCAAGAAACTTTATTTTAACTCTTATATCAATGTTAAAGTGCTAGATCTATTTCAAACTGAGTCAAACATTGTATCTTCGAGAATAGTGATATTATTCTCTTTTTCCTTACGCAATATTATTCACTTTTCTTATTTTCCTTCTTCAAAACCAAAGTAGAGGTAAATCCTGTTTTGCATGAATCTAAGTTTCAGAATTTGCTCTATATACACTATCTTTGTAAACCTTTTTGAAGAACGCTATCTGGACGACGTTAACCGATATTGCCAATCATTTTGTTTAACTTTTATTTTTTTTCTTTTAAGTGACCTTTTATTGGATGTGCTCGACCAAATACTCTATTTTCATTACTATGATTCAATCTTCATGCGATGCATTGCATAAGTCTTTAAGCTTGCATAATGATGTTGACGTAAAGACGTTGTCGATGATGATAAATTCATACATAACTTCTGAATTGCACAAAGAAAAGCTTACTTTCATTAGATTCTATTGACAGCATTGTGTACTTATGTATGACAGTACAACTTCTGATATATATGCTTAAACAACAAGCACAAGGTTGATTCATATGTTACGTCAGCTATTCAAATTCATCTCTTGGGTTGATCAAACGTGAGAGATTATTCACAATCTGAATCCAAATAACGTTTAAAAGTCTTCTCACATTACACAACGAAATATAAAATAAACTTTACAAAAAATAGCGTAAGAAAAAAAAATAGAGATCAGTTTTTTATAGATAAATAAATAATATTGACAAAAAACTGTAGTAAGAGAAAAGAAGCTTAAAATAACAAAAAATCAACCGTTGAAATAATTGATTTTTTTCCTTTTCTTTGTTCAAAGAAAGGCAACTATGTTGTTCAGATAATAGTGTGATGTGGTATTGTGCAATATATCTCTTAAGATTCCTTTTTTTCTTCCATGAATATTTTCTCAATCGTTCTGTTTGTGTTGAAAATTCCAAGAGTTCTTTCTTTTTCATGCTTTTTACTAATTCATTTGGATATTTCCCACCTGATGATCCTAAATATGAACAACGTTTGAACAAAAAGATTCACTGTTCTGTGAAGCAATCATCCTGTAAGAGCTTTTCTTCCAAAAAAGCAACAAGAAAGTTGTTGCACAATCGTTTATAAAAAGGTCACTTTTCGTTTCTCTTTGATGGTAAAAACTGATTACAGGGTGTATTTCATCCGCTATTTTCTTCAAAATTGAATTAAGGAAAAGTTTTTCTGTTTTGCATTCTAGATAAGAGTGACACTTTCACTTTTTTTCTAAAAAGTAAGGAAAGTAACAACGTTCCTTTCCCAACAAGAAAGGAAAGCAAAAAAACTTGAACACAGGGGAATATACAGCTCACGCTCACGAGCGCTTATATGAGCATGAAAGTTTGTCCTGCCTCAAGTAGAGAAGAGACGTTACAAGTTATTCACCTATTACCTTATCAAGTAATTAGCAATGGAAACTTTGCGAATTTATCAAAAGGAAAGGCCATTTTCTAAAAATAACAATTTTTTATACAGTTTGACCAAAGACAATCAAGGTTGAAGAATCCGAATCTGGGACCGGTTTTTCGAGATGTTGGATTTGATTTTTTACTAAAAAATAATTTTTTTAATAAAAAAAGGTTTCTAAAAAAAAGCAAATTTAGAGTTTAAGAAACTAATTACTGATTCAGATTCTTCGACAAGATTGCCTTCCATCAAACTTTAGGAAAAATTGTTTTTTTAAAAAAATAACCTTTCCTTTTGATAAACTGACAAAGTTTTCATTGCTAATTACTTGATAACATAATTAGTGAGTGAATGTATTCTCTCTTCTCTATTCGAGACAAGAAAAACGCTCATGCTCATACCAGCATTCATGATTGTGAGCTGTACGGTCGCAGTGTTCAAGTTATTTTACTTTCTTTGACTTTTATGTTACCTTCTTTCATTTTCTCTTTCTTTCTTTCAGCTTTTTTTTGCTTTGTTTAACTTTTATTTTTCTCTCTTTCAATTTCTTTTTACTTTCTTTTACTTTTTTCGTTTTCCTTTACTGTCTTTCAGTTTCTTTTTACTTTTCTATGTCCTTTTAGAAAGTACACAGAAAGTAAAAGTGCCACCCCTAATTCTAGATATATAAGGTCTAAATAAACTTTCTATTTGTGATAGTCTATATAAAATGGCAACAAATGTAAGTAATAGAACTTAGAGATGGCTGTAAAGAAAGCATTTTCACATCCTCTTGATATTCTGATCTTCATTCATGTAGAACATGTCAGAAACAGATCTAGATCAACACAAGCGAAAAATATTCATTCAAAAACTAAGTCCTGACACGACAACACGATCGTTAGAAAATTATTTCTCTAAGTATCTAATTGAGTGGTGTAAAGTTCCACTTGATGAATCAGGTAAGATGGTAACGTCATTTCTATAATTGATATGAAACAAAGGCTTAGATACAGCATTTCATCAGTGAAATAAAGAAATATTAATAAAAGATGCATTGTGTTATCTTTTAAAGGTAAAAATAAAATGCATGGCATTGTCATGTTTCGCAGCGAAGAAAGTGTTAATGCTGTTATGTCACAACGTTACCATCAAATAGATGGCAAAGAAGTTTTTATTCATCGTTCAGTTCCAAATCAAGGAGCACTGAAAGATAATAAAGCAATTCAGTATTTGATTGTTTCCAGTTCAAACAGTCAATCATTGGTTGAATCAGATATCAACAACCACTTTTCTCAATACGGTAAAATATGTAAGATTAGTCATTTGAAAAATGAAGACAATGCATGGATTCTTCATTTTGATTAGTAAGTACTAGAATACAATGAGTTTGTCGAATTAATATTTGTTTCGATTCAGTTATGATTCAGTCGACCGAATTCTTTTGCATTCTCCACACCGTATTGGAGGAATCGATGTCAATGTTAAGAAAGATAATCGAAATTTCTCTCATAGAACTTTATCTACATCAGAAGCGACGCCAAAGACCGATAACAATAACAGTGAAGTAGTACTGAAGAAATCCAATTTGAAACAAGTGACCATGAGTAGGTCTATGCCTTTTTATCTCAAATTCAAGTCCTTCTGTTTTCTATTCAGATGAACAAGTATCTTGTCTTAGTCTACCTGCAAAAAAATATCGCATTCATATAACAAATTTGCCGGCGAATATAGATGCTGAAATATTATCACAAGAATTCGATTGGGATATTTATGATATTGTTATGAATTCATCCAACAATGATCGAGCATTATCAACAGAATGTTGGCTGAAAAATACCAATGATGAAAGAGAAGTGGACAATTTTGTTCAAAGGAGGAACGGACGAAGCATCCGAGGATCAATCATTCAATGTGAGAAAGAAGAAGATGAAATAGAATTCTGTAATAAATTTCAATTTGGTCTGTGTGAAAAAAGTAGTGATGAATGTCATTGGGAACATATACCTTGCACAGCAAACGGTACTTGTTCATCGACTTGTCCTTATGGTCATGCATGCGGAATGAAGACAGTACACGATTTTCTGAATAGTAAGTCAGATTTTCAGTTAATAACATACAGTATTAGGATCTCAAAAATGGATAAAGATGGAATACTGTATACTGGTGGGTGTGGGTGTGGGTATAGAGTAAGTCATCACCCACACCCACACCCTAGGTTTGCGCGACATTTCACTGACGGCATTTCGGTTTGGCAACAATTACAGAAAAAATCTGTCCTTCTATTTATTATTTATTCTAGTGACGAGTACTGACTATCGAATCAAAATCACTGGTTTTCGAACGGAAGTTACACCACAAAATCTCAATCAACGATTAGGTTCAAACAACTATTATGTCGATCGACACCATGATCGTATTGGTTACGTGGTCAAAATCAAAACTATGAAATATGCTAAACAGTTGATGACCAAATGGCATAATAAGAACATCGATGGTCAGCTAATTAAATGTCAGTTGGAACTCAATCCAATCTCGTTTGGTCATCGTCATCGCTCTCAATCACGAGCAGCATCCACTGATGGAGAATTGAAACGTAAACGTTGCCGCAGCCGTCCACGAGATGCTTGCAGTGTCCAAAGCAGTCAAGAAACATCTGATCTCGGCGATAATGGCAATAGTTTGTCAATAACATTTGACAATCGAGAAGTGGATAGAGATCGTCGTATTTGTCGCAAAGCTTTTGATGATATTACTCGAACTCCATCGAAGACTGACCTGCATCATGCAAGTTCATCAGAAAGTATCTCATCATTGGTAGAGATGAAATGTAAGTTCTTCTGCACGACAGATGTAACGGGCTTCTAGACTATTGTCTTCTGTTACAGATCAGTTACCAAGCGATGTACCGACAGATGAATGGGAAATAACGAGAAACGCACTGCATAGTGATGGAAAAGTATTATTGATACGTAGCAAAGCAGATCGAAAACGTCTTGCCGTAATCAAGATCTACTCAAATCAATCGTCGACAGACTTATACCGAGAAGTAACTGTAATGAAAGATCTAAAAGGTAAGATGAATATGGAGAAAAAATACTGATAATCCACATATATATTAATCAACTCTATTGCAGATGTGAAAGGCGTCACTCAATTAATTGAATCAGAGAATACATCGAACAATCTTACTCGACGATGCGTTGGCAAAGCCAATCTATGGATAATTATGAAACGTGCTCCTGGGTATTCATTAAAAGAATTCATGGAACGAAAATGTCGAGGCGTCCTTGAACTTTCAGCAGCCATCCAAGTGTCCCTGAATTTAGTAAGAATCCTCCAGGAGGTACATAGCAGAGGCATTTTCCATCAGAATTTATCGCCTGAAAATATTATGATCGAATGGGATTTAAAGAGTACATCGATTAATCAAGCTCCATTGACCGTACTGAATTTCAGTCAGGCTGTCATCATATCGACCGGAAGAGATACAGCAATTGTATCATCAAAACAAAAATGGTATCAAGTACCACAAACGAATGTCAAAAGATTGAGTTCGACGATTGATGGATCCGGAGTTTGTGCGATTCTTTTTTGGTTACTGACACAGATGGATCCTCGACATGAGAATCATGAACTTCCTCATCAAAAAGCTCGCGATAAACTGAATGACATGATTAAAAGTGCTGTCAACTCTACAAATTTGCAGCAACAGTTGAAAATGTATCTGATGGACACATTTGATTGTGCTTTCGGCTATCCAAACCATCATCCATGGACGATCAATGACCTCGAATGTCGATTAGAGTCGATTCATCAATTATTGATACCAAACGTTCCACAACTGACTACAATAAGTGCCATTTTCCAAGAACTGGCATCGATCTCCAATGCATCACCAATTCCACCTATCACAATCAATGACACCCAAAGATATGCCTTTGAAAAAGCATCAAAAGCATTCTGTCAGGCAAAGGAGTACTTCTTACAAGACGGGCAAAATCAATTTGAATGGTCCGATGGAAATTGTACATGGGTTTATAGTCCGCATAGTTCGATCAATGAATGTCGCAATGATGATGTACTCACCTATCATTCATTTCGTGGAAGAACGACCATTACCTATTCGGTCATAATCACATGTCTAGCAAGTTCTATTGAAGGAGTTGTGATGGCATTATCTATTAGCAGTAATATCAATGGTAAAACGATTCGAATGCCTATTGGTCAATATTCAACGGCTCAAGATTATGCTACAGATGTACAAGAGAATTTTAGAACGGAATTGAAGAATCTTCTTTTAGCTGTCTACAAAGAACGAAAACCTATAGAACATTAATAGAACACTATATTCGCTTGCCACTTTTTATATTGAAAAGTAGCAAGGTTCTTATTAAAGAAGTGTAATCGATCAAGAATAATAATAAATATAAGAATCTAATGATATCAGATGGAATGTTTTGGTTTTATTTGCTGTTACATGCACATTCCCATTTTATTTCAATAATTTCTCATCTGGAGACAGAAATTTTATCTTGTTGTTTTTTCTGATTTAGCAGCAAAATTCTTAGATATCTGGGGTGTGGGTATTAGGTGTGGTCATGTATGTGTCCTCACTAGAGTGGGTATGGGTTGGAGTCCTGCGGGACAAACTTTTTTCGTGTCCCGAATGCCGTCCGTCCCATCTAGTAAATTTTTGAATCGTCCTGAATCCCGTTTGTCCCGTTCCAAAAAATTTTCGAAATGTCCCGATTCCGAATGTCCCGTTAACTTAAAAGCGACTAACTGGACTTTGTCCACTCGTCGGGTTATTGCTTCTCACTCGTTTTGTTGCCATGACAAATCCTTTTTTTAATGTGGGTTATCATCCTCTTCTCGAAGCATTAGTCATGACTCAAGCCAGTCACTCATTCTTCAAACCTAGCCATTATTTCGAAACGAGAAAAAGTTTACCGAGATCATGAAAAAGTGACGAGTGTTTACTTGAAATCGGTTTTTCAAAATCTCGATGCAGCTCAGAATCTATCAAAATGCGCAAAACAATAATTAACAACTGCGAGTTTCCTTGTACGGTCATACAAGACTCAATCTAATAAGAAACATTGATATTTCAAATACTACATGCAATAGTTTTCTTATATGGCAATAGTTGGTTTAAACTAATTATTCCTTAAATTGTCACTTGAGCCAAGATAGCTGAACGCAGATGAAGCTCATTGTTTGTTTCTCTCAAGGAGTGAATAGTGAGTTCCAGAATCCTTGAATTCCAAGGATTCCCTATTGTGTCTTACTCGATTCGGTAGAATTATATAGGATTCCAATTCTGAATTCCATAGAATTTGAAGATTCTGGAATTTCGCTATTCATCTCTTGTTTTCTGTACGAAAGACGATAATTTAGAAATAGAAGATGTCGCACAGGATCGTACTTTGACGTTTTTCTAGCTCTTGCAGGCAGCCGCCTTCTTTATTCGGGGTTTGCTCAAGTAGAAGTCTAGTTTTATGTCTGGTTCATTTCTCTTTTATTTTATTTAAATGTTAAGATATTTTCATACAAACAATTAAAATGTATGGTACGTTTCGAGATAGCGATTGAAAAAATTCGGGACATTCTTTTTTTTCGATTTTGTCCCGATCCCGAATGTCCCGTCCCGAAAATTTTTGTAAATATCCCGATCCCGATTGTCTCGCTCCAATTTTTTTCGGGATTCGGGACTGTCTCGCAGGACTCTAGTGTGGGTGTGTTGGTGTGGATATGGGTGTGGATGGGTGTGGGTGTAGGTGCGGGTGCAGGTCTGGGTGTGGGTGCGGGCGTGGGTGCGGGTCTGGGTCTGGGTGCGGGTGTGATTGTTCTTGTTGAGAACAGCCGCACCAAACACTCAACACCTACACCCACACCCTTTTTGTATTCAATAAGTATAAGTTGTTGAATACGGTTAGGAATTTTTTCTCAAACATTGTTTTTTCTGAAACAAATTATTCTGAAAATTTTGATAATGCTGGCAATGTTATGAAAACTTTATGTATTCATTTCATATACTTCGACTATCATCGAATCTTTAGATGAATACTGTTTATAACGTTTATGCAAAGTATGTTCATACTGTTGTTTGATGAAAAAAAAAGTTCAAAACATATTTCCAATATTTTAAGTGTTTTATTTCAACTTAATCTTAATATGACACTACTTGATAAAATGCATTTGACATTATAGTAAATGCAGTCATATTATTAAAAAGAGACCGTGCAATTTATGTTTTTCGTTATGAATGAAAAGAGTTTTAGGCAGAAAGAAAAATAGTGTCAGGTGTCCATCATCACATAACATAACCATATGAATATTATTCTCATCGACGGTAGTGAGAAAAATAACATATTGTACATGTATATATATAGACTGCAAGAAGACGAAAATGATTGAATGGCAAAATAATCATGCGAGATGAACATTTTAAAAAACAAAGATATTAATATTCTCGATCTATCAGATAAAATATTACGTATCATTTTCAATAAATTGAATAGGACCAATATATTTTATTCATTGGTAAGTGTAAATCAGCGATTTTATCGACTAACACTCGATTCTCTCTCTATATATATTCATCATCTTAAGTTTGTGATCGAACGATCCGATATTGATAATTCTTCGATAGATGTTCACATTCTTGGTAAAATTTGTGAAGAAATCTTATTTCGAATTAATGAGAAAGTAACCAAACTTACTTTTGATGCATTTTGCAAGAAATGTATTCTTGGTGCTGTTCATGATCGTCAACTATATTCTTTATCATTGGTCAATTTTCAACCTGATATACTCTTACGATATGTATCAAGTATGATCAAGAATTGTACTTGAGTTCATCAAGCGTTGATGTTTTTATTTATATTTCAGATGGCAGAATATCTCGTCTTCTTAAGAATCAAATTACACATCTTACTGCTGATATTTATTCTGTGACAGCAGAAATATTTAATGAAAATGAAGGAAAAATATTTCAATGGATATTATAGTTCGGTGAATATTTAACTGATTTGACCTTTTCTCAACAATTCTCAAGAAATTACCTAACATTTTCGTCTTCGACTATTTCATATCTATGTTTTCTATCTTCAACTCTCACTAAGTTGACAATAAAAATCAATAATTTTGATGATTGTCTTTTTCTTCTTAATGGATGTCTTGAAGCTTTATCTACGTTGATAATTCGTATCAAGATAATTAATTGTTTATCATCGACGACATATAATACTACAGTATGTATAAGTACAATCATTGAATAGAAACAAATTTGTCATTGAAATCTACTGAATAGAGGCAACTGTCATGTTTATTCTCTTTCGTATCTATTTAAGAATTTCTTGTTCATGAATAGCTGTTTTCAAGGTGGTCAATTTGATAAAATTCGAATGTGATTAATGTATGATGAACGTCCATTTGAAAATAAATTATTCAAAATTATCTCTCAAGACTTTCCTTTGCTTCAAATATTAATCATACATAATCTTGAATAACAAGAAAATGATCAACATCATTCGTCTATATTGATTACATTTAATCATCTGTTCACACTCAATCTTAACAAAGCACACCAAGACTATGTCATACAGTTTCTTTCTGACAAAAACACTCATTTACCTTGTTTAACAAATCTTGCCATTAAATACAAAACATTACCAACTGTAACAAATAATTTTACCAATAATGCAATATATGTCAATTGTGCTGAACTAAACTGTCTATATACAATGTGAGCTATGTGTGTCCATAAAACTTTAATTCATATTT